TGTGTGACAAAACATGCATATTTTAGGGACTAAAATGTTATTAACCCTAAAATATACTATACTACTCTATAATATATATTTTAAAAGAATATTAAATTCTAAAATTTAGGTTATACTTAAAAAAACTATTATAATTTTTTTTATATAAATTCTTAATAAAATATGAAAATTTTACTATGATTAAAGAATTATGTTGATTTAACATAAATTATTTTTTAAAAATTATGTAAAAAGTTATTTTTTATCTTTAAAATAAAATTGTTGAAATTTTGAATGAAAAAAATTACACATATGTAAGTATAATGATATCTTTATATTTGAAATGAGTAATATTAAATTGATGAAGTTTGTGAAGATTTTTTGAACGTTTTGTTGAAAACTATAGTGATGCATAAATATTTTAAAGGTAACGTAACCAATTAAAAAGTTCATAGATATTGATATTTATACATAGTAAATAGAAAATTAAAAGAGATATTAGAGGTAATTTAGAGATTTAAACACATAAGTATATGATGGTAATTTATATATGCAACTACAGAAGGATAGTGTGTTATTTAAAATTATTTATAAGAGTAAAATAGTGAATCAAAAATTTTTCATGCTAAAACAAAAGTTTCAATCTTTATTAGTAGTATAGATGAAAAAAAATAAATATATATGCATAATGTTATCTTTATATTTAAAAAGAGCAATGATTTATTGATGGAGTTTTTGAATACTTTATTAAAAACTATACGATGCATATATTTTTAAAGGGTAGCGTAGCCAATTAAAAATTTTCATAGATATTGATATTTATACAAATGTATTAGAGAATTAAAAGAGATATTAAAGAGTAATTTAGATATATAAACACAAAAAGATGTGATTGTAATTTGGATATTTAAATATGAAAAGATAGTATGATATTTAAAATTCTCTATAAGAGTAAAACAATGAATCAATTTTTTTTTACTTAAGGTACTAAAAAAGTGTGTTTTACGTTTTTAATAAAAATAAATTTACAAATCATAAATTTAATAATTAAAATAATTTATTAATATAAAATAAGACAAGTTTTAATAAATCTATCTTACGGTCTTAAATAGACTCATCTAATGGTCACTAAAATCCTTTTCAAAATCATTCACATTGTAACATACCTTTAGACACAAATTACCCCAAATTTAATAAGTAAGTTCCGTGCTCTGATAAATAGCTTGAACCTAAGCCTAAAATGCTGATGGGTGGGCTAGTCACTTTTGGCATCCCTCGCTTCCTTTCACAATATCTTTGTCACATACTATAAAATAATTTAGGACTAATCTCAATATATACCCCAAAAGATGTTTTAAATTTTAATTTACACCCTCACTGTTTAAAAATATTAATTTATACCCTAAAAGATATAAGTTTATATCAACGTGCACCATTAGTTAATTGTCATATATTTTGCCGTTAAAAAAGTTTTGGTTAATATAAATTGTACTTTCAAAGTTTAAATATTTCACATTTATAATTCAAAAAAAATTTCATCAATTAATACTCGTTAAATACCTTTTAATTGTGTTGTGTCGCGTTCGAATCAATAAAAAAAATTGATACAAAAAATATTTTTGTGTTGAGTCAATTGTATTGTGTTATATATTTAATATTTACAACCATTCATATAATACTATTTAAAAAAACAAAAAATGCCTATTTTTTTTATGTATAATACTCATTAAATAGTTATTTTCTATTTAAAGTTAGAATCAAATCTTTTGATTGTCCGATTATATTAAAGTTAAATACGAATAACACGATTTAACGGGTATTGTAGATAAAAAATTACTATTTAACGAGTACTGTATGAAAACAAATTTATATTTTACAATTTTTTAAAAGAAATTTTAAAAATATTTTTTTAGTGACTCGAATACGACACAAAAATGTTACCACACATCACAATTGAGAGTTATTTAATGAACATTAATGAATGAAATTATGTTGGATCATAAATATAAAATATTTAAATTTTGAGGATACAATTTATAATTAGTCTACATTTTTTTAATAGCAAAATGGACAACAATCCCAAGCTGCATATGGATAGAAATTTATGTCTTTGAAGGTGTAAATTAATTTATATAATAAAGTACAATATAATTCAAATTTTAAAAGATAAATTAAATGACTTTTACTTTTCGGGGTTGAGGTCTCTTTAAATTTTATTTTAAAGTTAATCTGACAATTAATATTAATACTCCAAATTTAATGGAGAAAATAAGCTTCTAAGAGTATGTTTGAGGCAACTTTTTAAAAGTGGTTATAAGACTTGCAACTTTTAATAAGTAAAAAAAAAAAAATAGTGTTTAAAACTGTTCCACCACCACCATTACTACTACCACCACTCTCATCACCCCACTATCACCACCGCTATCGCCACCCTACCACCACCCTTATCACCCCACCCCTACCACTGTCACCTCACCACCACTTCTTCCATAACAACCACCACCATCGCCGTTACCACCACCCCCCACTACCACCACCACCACCGTTGTCACTATTGTCTCACCATCACCCTTCCCACCACCATTACTGTTGTCACTCATGATTGTCACAATCACAACTAGTCGTTGTGACTCATCACAACCATTACCATCTCCCACCACCACCACTCGTCCCACTATAATTGGTATTTAAATTTTTTTTTCTTTTCTCTATATTTGTAATTTAGTTTTGGACGAGAATATAAATATGATTATTATTAACTATTTTTTATTATTATTTTGTGCTTTCAGATATGAAAAATAACTAATATTTTTAAATTTTAAGAGTACAAATTAAAATAGAGTGATATTTTCATGTGTAAATTGAGATTAGCCCAATAATTTTTAAAGAAACATTGGAAATTGACAAACAAATTAACATTATAAAACGCATTAAAATATGAGCAGCCATTGGGAAGTGGAAAAATTTATGTAGAACTGTACATATTGACATTGGAATTATCCTAAAGCTAACGTCACACGCTCACAAATGCATCTTTATGGCTAAATTAGTGTAATCTTCTTCATAATGTCCCAGGTGGGTGGCCTGTGGGGTTCAAAGTTTTGCGTGGGTGGAGGTACTGCAGGAGCTAGTATCTTTTCAGGGAGTAAAATTTATAGTACAGTGAAAAGGTGATTTTGTTCTCCTGTAGCTTCTTCTTTTTAGTGTTTTTCTGTGATTTTAGTTCATTTGAGCTTCTGGGTTTTGTTGGGTTGGTGCTGAATTTCTGCCAAAAAAAAAAGGGTCAGTTTTAGACAAGGTTTGATTTTCAAGCGGTTTTGTACTGATTTTTACTTCTGGCTTGGTGCTTGTCTAGTGTTCCTATGTTTCTTTTGGTGTTTCTAATTGGTGGTTTTGAGCTTTGAAGAGCTACTGTTCTGTACAGGGGGATTATCTGTTCTTTGTATGCTTCAGCTTCTTTGCATTATTAAGTTGGCTTTGGAATTTGGAATTGCTGATTTTCATGATCAAATGCTTCTATTATTAGTGCTTTCCTTCGTATATTGTTTATTAGTTTCTCGTGATCTGGTTCAAGTTTGTGTTTTTAAGTTCAAAACTACAACAATTTAGATGGACTATATTGGCATATGAGGTTCTGCAGTTAGGTTTATTTTCTGTGTTTTTCATTGTCTTTTGGTTTCTAGGTATAGTTTGGTTGGTGCTGAAGTTGTGTCTCAGAGGACCATTCTTTTTGGTTGCTGAATCTTGTTCTTTGTATACTTCGCTTCTGTGTATCATTAAATTCGCTTTCGAATTCATGAATGCTTTCCTTTTTATTTTGCTGATGAGTTTCTCTGGATATGGTTCAAGTTTGAGTCTTTAAGTCCAATACTGCAAGAATTTAGATGGAATATCTTGGCCAGGGTTTCAAAACATGTATCACAAAGCATATCATTTTTCAAGAATACATATTATGCATCGTAACGTACCATAAATTGTCAGATATGCTGTATTTTTGAAAATATGTTAATACATACATATGCATATGAATGCATACATAGTGTCCAAAACTGTTAATATCATTTTGTGGAATATGAGTTTATGTCAGGGCTCGGTCTTTGCGACAGGATTGGAATATAGAAAAGATTTTGTTAGTTTGGAGGAGGAGGAGGAGGAGGAGAGAAGAAGAATCAGAAAAAAGTACACGAGGATCACTGGAGAAGAAGTAGACAATCACGGGCTTCATCTGCTTGAGATTGGATGGAAAAAGGAAAAAATAACCTATAGAAATTGGCGTTGTTTCACTGAGACTAAAAAACTAAACAATCTTGCGAAATGACGTCATTTCAATGTTAAGAGTGAAAAATGCTGGGCTGTACCGTTTGTTCACTCTATCAAACCATGTTGTATGGTAGCAACAACATTGATATTGCCATTCATGATATTCTGCACTTAGGGTCTATTGCTGGTGTTTTTCAATTTTCACTCTTTGATTGCGTTAGAGGATCTCCTCTTTGATTGCTAAATGTTGCTGTCATTATGAGCAAGCTTTTTTTTTTTTTCATCTGTGGTTTAATTGGTTCTTTTATGGATTCTGTACAATGATCATATTCTTCAGAATAAAATTGCAGTTCAAAATCATCCATGCAATTATGGATTTTTGGTGGTTCTCTTGGTTGTATTTACATGGGGGGATCTCTATAGATTGATCTGGTTTCTCATTTTCGGAGTTCCCTTCTACTTTTCAAATTATCCTTGTTATAAGACTTTTTTCTTTTCTGTTTTGGACGTCTATTTTCAACTTATCTGTTAGAATAAGGTTTGTTTTGTGTATTTGGCCCTAGTCAGTGTTCCTTGGATCATTATGTCTGTGCTGGCTTAAGTGAGCAAGTGAATGGTATTTGAAGTGAAACTTTTTTTGCCTTTTTAGCCTTCATTAAGTTTTCTTTTGATGGGAAATACAGAGAAGGTGACGATGGTGATGTATGGGGTGTAGAACTTAGAGAGCTGGGACAGAAGATGAAAAGGAAGCAACCTGCGGGATGCCGAGCTTCATTCCAAGCTTACCCATTTCCAATGCAGTGTAAGTTTCCACCCTATGTCTATCTGTTAATTGTCTTGCAGAACAAAATGATTGAATTGTGTACTTTTCAAGCTTTCTTGGTAGATAATTTGATTGTTTTTCGGTCAATGCTATTTCTGCCTCAGTTTGATACAGTTAACTCTCTACTTTATCATTTTTTTGTTTAGTTGTTTTCACTGTCTTATTAATAAAAAGGATGCTATTAGATGGATTGGTTTGGAAGTAATTTCCCATTAAATGTTGTTGAATACATGTTTTTTCCCCTTGCAAAAAATTGGTTGCACAATTCATTGTTTCTGTTAGTGGTTGGTTTTTAAGTGATTTGGAAACGGTTACATTGATTCTTAGTTTTGGCTGGTAGAAGTAACAATAAGTACGTGACCTTCAAAGGAAGAAAAAACATAAAGAGGAAAAATGAAATTCTTATGATGTAGGTCATAGTAGAGAAGAATTAGGGATGAGAAGGGAAGAAGAAGGGGATGAGAAAAGAAGAAGAAGGTGATGAGAATAGAGAGAGAATTTGAGGTAGAGAAAAATTAGAGATGAGAAGGTAAGCAGAAGGGGATGAGAAAAGAAGAAAAATGAGATGAGAATGGAGAGAAAATTTGAGGAAGAAGCAATATCAGGATTCAATATCAATAATCAAAGTCTAATCTAAATAAAACCCTTACATGCATTCCTTTATATAGGAAAATTAAAACCCTAAAACAATAAATAATGACAAATAAACCCTAAAAAGTTAAAAGAAATTACTTAAAAGATACATACTAAAAGTATCTAAATAACTCTCATAATTAATCTATAATATTTATCTAATTCCTATACGATCCCCATCATTCTCCCCTGGTTGAGAAAAACTCTCCACTGGAGAGTCTTCAAAGTAGAAGTACCCTAAGAGGGCAGGATGAAAATGACATAATGTCTCATTTAGAATGAAAGAACCATCAACATCTTTTCATTGATTAGGATAAATGTAAGAATTTTCATCTATAGCAATGTAAATCTGGTCACGTAGTACATTATCTATTTATCTCGAAATACGCGATAGAAGTGGAAAGATAAGAATTGAAAGTAGTGCTGAAGAAGAAGCAATTCCACCTGCAGAAACATCGACTAACAAAATAGGAGGTCCTGGAGTACCTTGATTAAGTAGCATGTCTTCTAAATAAAAATCTAGACTAATACTAACATTCAATGAAAAATTAAGCAAATAAGTATTAGATCCAAATTCAAGAATAGCAGAACAATTCTCATTAGGTTTAAACAAAAAGTATTCAATGGAACAAGATATCGATCACAAAGGAGTAACAATAACGTCCTGATGCTGAAAATAAGAAAGTACAGACTCAATTAAATACTTGACAGTAGACAAAGAAACAAAGTTAACACTTTCAAGTAGGACAGAATCTAGAACAATGTCAACAATTTCAGGGGGAGAAGAATCTGAAACAAAATCAACAATCTCATATGAAGAAGAATCCACAACAATGCCATCATGATTCAGAATAGTAGACACAGAATAATGGCTAACAGTTTGTAAAATAGATAGCTCAATATGTTCAACATCTTGCATAGAAACCAACTGAATGGATTTTTCTTCAAGTTCAATGATTAGTGATGATTCAACTTTTGGCTTCGATGAGGTAGGAAATATGATAGGATCAAAAATAATCTCATCACTAATATCAATGTTCAAATGATTAAAAATATGTTTTGAAGGATGAAAAGCATGAGGGTCCAATGGAACAAAAATATGGCTATCATTATGTCGGTGTCCGACATTAGGTGAAACTGGAGACTTGTCCTTATTTTCTTCCATTTGTTGACTTGCAAGAATTTTAGTCAAGTGGGAAAGTTGAGTTGTTAATTTAGATAATTGATTTTTCGTTCCTCTACACTCTTCACGTCATTGGCCGAGTGAGTGTTTAGTATTGACAACTCCAATTTCAAAGATCTCAACTTTTTTCTCTAGAACAGTTTGGGCTTTTGATGGTCACTAATGACATTGAAGATAAATCCAAATTGACCTTGATGATGACTTTGGGAAGCATGACATTGGTAACTGTTATGTGACCGTAAGTGTCCCAGAGTAGTATTTTAGATAATCTTCATTATAAAACTCAAATTTACTATGGATTTTATGATGTTTCTGAGAAACTCTAGGAGTGGAATAGGTATAGTGATAACATTGTGGAGAATTGTGAACTTGAGACATTCTTGATGATGGATAAGTATATGAATAGACATCATAAGGATCATATGAACTCATGATTGACTTTGAAATATGAGAATAACATAAGAACGAGTTCAAGAATGCAATTGATAATAACAAGAAGTGAAAAAACTTACATATAAGAAAATGTGTTTTGGATCTTTTGCAAACTCTCTAATTTCCCAATGAATAAAATATTAGTTTCAAATTTCTATAGGAGTATGCATATCATAATCAAGAGGTAATTCTGAAACTTATTGGGGATGATTTTGTAATTTCTGAAACTTTTGGAATGATGTTTTTGTTATTTTTTGGAATTTCTGGAGGTGATTTTATAATTTTTTGGATTTGTTGGGGATGTTTCTGTAATTTTGAAACTTCTAGATGATATTTCTATAGTTTTTTTTTTTTAAAACCCTAGTGCCAAAGTAGCAACAGCAACAGCAACAGCAACAGCAGCACGAGGAGGAAACAGCGAAGATGATGGTACCCAAAATGATGATGGATTGACGACGATGGCACCAAAAAAATACAACGCCGAATGTGACTTTGAAACCCAGTCCTTCAAATCTTGAATTTTTTTTTTTAATATGACTGGACAGTAGCGATGAACAGTGCTACAATGAACAGTGTTTTTTTTTTTTGGGTACAAATCGAAATTGGGCTTTGATACCAAATTGATGTAGATCATAGTAGGGAAACATTAGGGACGAGAAATGAAGAAGAAGGGGATGAGAATAGAGAGAGAATTTGAGGAAGAAGCAATATTATGATTCAATATCAATAATTAAAGTATAATTTAAATAAAACCATTACAAGCATCTCTTTATATAGGGAAACTAAAACTCTAAAACAAATAAATAATGACCAATAAACCTACAAAAGTTAAAAGAAATTACTTAAAGATACATACTTAAAGTATCTAAATAACTTTCATAACTAATCTATAATATCTATCTAATTCCTATACGATCCCCAACCCCTTATCTAGCCATTTAATTTGTTGAAATGTGTTTTCGTTAAATGTAATTTTCATGATTCCTACCTACAAGGACACGTATTGCTTCCTAAAATGCTTGAATAGAGCCACTACTTGATGTCAACATGATATGCAAACTTTAACTAGTCAAAACTGGAAAGATTGGTCATGGTAACATATGTTTTTTGGACCACTTTAAAGTATGGATTCTATGTTTAACATAGATGGTTAATCTTACTGATGTGAGGTACTTTGAAAACCTTTTGATTACTGATGAGGTTAGGTTGATCATATTCTTTTTATGCAGTCCCATATAAATGTCATATAGTTATATGATGGTAACACTAAAAGGCTTTTGTTTTACTTTTCTGACCTGTGATTGATTCATCAAAAGTTTATTCTAGTTGGCCAGGGTTTGGTCTGATTGATCTATGCCTACTTTGGACAGGCCTGAGTGCACTCTCCAATTTTGGAGAACCAGAGTGCTGTTTGACCAAGAATTGACCTCTGGCCAAGAGTTATAGTATGCTTGAATATCTAAATAATGTGTGCTATACAACCATTCTTGGCTGGCCTATTTGAGCAGTCAAAATCATGTCTTGCACAACATTGATTATAAAACAATGAGTTAGTAACCCTGCCCTTGGTAGCATTAAACAGAGGCCAAATTTGCATCCTAATACGGACAATGTGTTGAATCAGATAGACATATCGATGTTTTGGTAGACAGTGAAAAAGGCCAACATTTGTGGATAACATAGAAACATATGCTAGAAAAAAGTAACGAAAATGGTTGGAATATAAAAAGGCTGTAATAACGTTCTCTAAATTCCAAATATCTTTTGATAATTAAAAGTAATTTGTTTTTTTAAATAACGACTGGTTGCAGTTTTTGCCTGGAGATATATATATCTAACAATGGGATCAAAACCCATGAGTTTTTCTTTAAGGGAGCATGAAAATCGTGAATTGTTTCAGAAACTGATGAAAAATGGTTATATGATATTTGCAAATACTTTCCATGTGTTTTCTTAATGCCTCCTATTTGTTTTGCCATCCTTTGTCCAGCGGTTTCTCTTCAGGCTCCTTATATGGTTCCTGAATCATGGTGAATAACATCTCATTTTTCTGCTTAGCCATAATTATGTAATTTGTAGATTCACATAGTCTCTCTGAATTTCCTTTGCTATTCAATTTTTGTACAACTCTATGTCTCTCTGCAGCTATCAAGAAAAACCACTTGGTGCTACAAACCTTTGTTGCACTAAGGTGGCTGCTGTTAGAAACAGAAACTTTTTTCTGTTAAAATTATCTCACAACATCGTCTCCATTTTCCCAATAAAAAAGATTTGCTACCCTTAACATCAAAAGGCCAGAAAAATGGCAAGCTTAGGTGTCGCAGCAATTATAAGAAATGATCCGATGACGTATGGTTTCCAGGTGCACAGAGGGTAGCTCTATCCTTTCTTATCGAGTATCCAACTTTGGGCCGCTTGAGCAATCCATTGGGTTTCGCAGAGAGGATGCTGTGGACCTGAGTGGTAAGTGTTCAGTAATCTGAACATAGTAATATCAACTTCAAAGCAAATATGTAGGGTTTTTTTGTTTGACAATCTTCTGAGGTGTAAGTGTTCGCTGAGATCTTAATGCTCCTTTTTTGACTCAAAATAGGGGACTCAAAATTTTGCCTAAGATTTGAGAGGCCACTGAGTTTTTATTATACATTTCACCATCTGCAGCATTGCATGAAATAAACAGTCCCACCATCTCTGTACAAATGAAAGCATCTGAGGCGGCTCTATGTCTAGTACAGTATTTAGATTGACCAGGTACCACACTGATGAAGTTGGTATGCTACCTTTTTTGTAAGCATGAAAGTGCTAAGAAATAGAAGGGCACTAAAACCCCCTCCTTCGTAGTCGGTTGTTTGGATGATATATTGGTGCTATTGAACTTCGTAAGTTGAATTTCTTGTGACGACAGTGGGTGTGGCATGTGTAGTTATAATATTGCTTATAATGCTATAATACTGGTGAAAGCAGTGGTGATGCGGCGAAAGCAGTGTGGTATATCTGAAGAAAGTTCTTGAAAATCCTTTCTCTGAAAGTTGTTTTCTTTTGCAATAGTGGCCGTCACACTAGTTTAAAAATACCGGTATTAATTAAAATTCGTTTCATATAGGAATATAGGATTTAAATTTATTGCTTTTCAAGAACTGTAAAAAATCTCCTAGTATAACTGTTAAGCACTGTGATACTGATGAAAAAGATTTCCCGCTACTGGATTGTGGTTATATTAAAGATACCCAAAATGCATCTGAAAGTTTTGTCTTTTGTTCCCCCCCTCCATGTTCTTTAGTTGAGTTGCTGATAAATACACGTGTGTGCATCTAGTCGATGATTGATTGAATTTGTTCATTGTTCTGCTTCTTTATTTGAGATGGTGCTTCTTTATTTGAGATCAATCATGGTATTTTGGGAAGGGATGCAGAGCTTCCATATTGTGGGAATGCGTAGTTATGGCTATTATTTGGGTGGTATGGATAGAAAGGATATGACGAATTTTCCACGAGAAGGAAGAATATGCCGAGTTTTTGCGAGACCAAATAAGCTTCATGGCCTTCCTTTGGGTGGTGGTATCTAAAGAATTTAAGGATGTGCCTTTCTTTAGTGTATTGATCATGGCATGTAGTAAGAGGGTTATCACTAAAGGTTTTATTATGTATTGTCTTTTAATTTCCTTTTTTGTTTTCTGGATTTCTTGTTCACCTTTTGTAATATATTCATCTTATTAATGAGAAGTTATGTTTCTTATCCAAAAAAAAAATTTTCATGGTTGTCTTTTGTGGTTTCAACTTCGACTCTGATTTTCTTCTTTTTTCCTTTGCTTCTCATGATGAAGAGACGGTGTTCAACTCGACAAAACCTCGTGCGCAAGCAGTTTCTTGTGATCCCCTTCATATAGTCCGTTTTGATAAGGTAAATTTATCTATTGCCTATTGAGGCGAGCTTTCTATTTCTGCGGGTTATCATGGCTTAACATTTTACTTAATTATTCTTAATTTCTTAAACCTCACCAGTAGATCAGATGTACAGTAGGGTTGCATGAGCTAATTGTGTGAATTTATGTTCTTTCTTGGTCTGAACAGTCACCTGCTTTGTTTGATAGCAATTCATCTACCGCTACAGTTGCATCTCAAAGGTTGGAATTACAGAAGAATCAGCCATCAAATCCAGTTTCTGTAACCAGTAATAGTTTGGAGAATTGGGGAGTGTCCGCTATGGCAGATGCAAGTCCTAGGACTGATATCTCAACAGATGTTGATACTGATGATAAAAATCACAGGGTGATCTTTCTCTCACTCTTTGTGTGTGTGGGTGCCGGAGTGTGTGCGCTAGCATTTTTTGTGTGGAAGGTGGCCAGGGGGTTCTGCTCAAAATGTCAGCAACTGGCTTTGTTGTAGTGCACACTTATTAATTTGTTTCTTACTTACCAATGGGCCTTTGGTCCAATGGTACTCCTTATCTTGTAAAGGCTTTGCCTTGTTGAGGTCAATGATTCAAGTTCCCCTTCTCCTTCCCCCTCCCCTCCAAAAAAAAAAAAAAAAAAAATTGTTTCTTACTTATCTTAATCCCAAAATTTCCACTTCGTTTCTTTTTCTATTAGTACAGAGGCATTCTCCATTCCTAATCCTTCTAAGAAATTGGAATTGATGTTTGTAAATACTGTTTGGAACTGATGTTCAGAATTTCATTCTGCAGTTTGAAAGGGGTCAACAACTTTCAGTTATGGCTTCTGATTCCAGTGACAGATCGAAGGATAATAAAGATCAGAAGGTTTTTAAGTTTGACCTATTGCATTGATGTCATTATTTTTGCTGATGTTTGATGAGCATTTGTTTGATTATACTTTACAGTCTCTTCGTAGGCTTGCTCAAAATCGTGAAGCTGCAAGGAAAAGCCGATTAAGGAAGAAGGTATGTGTGAAATTTATGTATTTTTACTTTCCATTGATGTTCAGCTGTCCATTTATCATGTTCTTATATGTGGTAGCCTAGAATATGAATGGTAAATATTCACAGAAAAAAATGCACTGTAGTAATTAGCAGATAAAGACCCAAAAATAATGAAGGGAATAATGATGTATCAAGAATGAAATAATGAGGCTCAGATTTTTAACTGTTTAATTTATTGTGAAATAATATACGAATAACATGGGTATTCTATGCGATTAGAGTCATGGATGAGAACAGGCTGGGGTTGGCAGCTAATGAGAGCACAGCTTGGCACCAGTAATTGTTATCAGCATGAACATCTGACCGACCTGAAGTTGAAGATTGAGACTAATATTTTGTGGGTCCATGTTTGTTCTTGAACTGCTCATTTAAGGGGAGCCTAATTCGGTTTCTTATTTTCTGCCTTAACGAAGTTGTGACTTAGATCAATAAATGTTCACTGTCCCTGCACAGTGAAGATAGGTTTGACAACCCTTTGTATTCACTATTTAAATGACATCTGAAATAATGGTGGCTGGAAGTTTATTTATCATTCAGATGAGTTTGTCTCAGAAAACATTTTGGGGCTCAATATGTTAGTCTACATATTTGAGGATACTTCTAGCTCTTTTTGGGGGTTTCTTTATAGGTAACACAATTTGATGTCATTTGCAAAGATTAGGGTTAAATGCCTCCATTACCGGTGGCGAAGCCAAGAATAATGATCTAAGATGGGCACACTTTGACTACAAGCTTTACTTTGTCCTCTAATTGATAAAAATAATGTGATATATTTATGTTTTTTTATATCATATTTGATACTTAAAGATTTATTAAACATAAAAGGCCTAAAACTAGTATATATATTCTATGCAAACAAAAACTAACTAAAAAAAGATTAATTATATATATTTTTTTTTAAAATGAGGCTAATTAAAGCCATTTACAATTGACCCTGACGAGTCTTTATAGTTTGAAAGCATTCCATGATAACTTGGTATTCGATTCAAATGGACTTAGACATGCCACACAAAGAAGTAATTCGGTGTTCGATTTAGCCAGTGAAATGATTATTTAGCTCTTGAAGTTGCTTGTTTTTAGACAGAAGATACAAAGGACAAGTGACAAAGGATTGGGCCAAGGGCTTTTGTGACTCAACTTTTTTTTTTTTAAGTGTACTGACTTGAAGAGATTTGTTATGGAATTGAGCCTTGTTTTTTGTTTTTTTTTTATTTCCAATATTTTGTTCCCAAATTCATTGACCCAATTAATTTTGTTTTATCTAACTCATACTCATTAGGGTGGGCCCAATTGAAATTATCCAAAAATATATATAAAACATATTAATATAAGTAATTTTTTTTTCAGGGTGGGCCCAGGCCCCCTGACCCCTACCTCCCTTCGCCACTGTCCATTACAGTATTTATCATCACACAATATGAATTCATAAGGAATGACCCTCTGTGGGATTGCTAAAATTAAACCCCACTTTGGATTCACAGAACCACGTAGTTGGTTACAGTCTAACTGCTTCATTTCAGGTGCTTGAAGCACTGTTTGTAAATTGTAAGTGTTAGTAAATCATGAAGTCTTAATATGGTAGGATTTGGATAGGTCTATTTGATAGGATAATGACGGCCTGAAGGATCATGGTGATGAGTCTGATAACAATTAATTTATGAATATATTTGTTTTTGTTTATGTCAATCTTATTAACCTTTGGCTTCTTTTTTTCCCCTGTTGCTTATTCCATTCTTTGTACATATCTATCTCAAGAGCAAAAGTTCTTTAACATCGGCATGGGTATTGGGAAGTGGTGTGGGGCAGTTCTAATCCTCCTTCCCCTGATGAAAGGGACTTGTGTGGGTTGAACACAGTGGAGAAGAGATAGATTTGGCTGGAAGGGGGTTGGTGTTGTTGTGGGGATTTGAAAAGGGGGGGGGGGGGGAGAGGAGGGAGGGATAGGGTTAAGGAGTGACCAAAGGAACAGAAGAGGGAAAGGGACTTGCTGAGGCATTAGACTTGTTAGTTGTTCTTTTTTGCGGGAAATACAGACTTGTTAGTTGTTAGAACAAGAAGAATCACGAATATTCACATATGTTGAGAAAGGCCTAGGCAAGCACTCGTAGGTTTTGAATACAACCACTGCTAGGATAAGACGCATAACTCATTAGTGCTACATGGTTATTTCAACTATACCTTATGTATCCGGGTTTATTAAATGAACTTGGAGTAAACGAGTTGGAACCATAGCTTTCAATGGAACCCATGAGTTGCTACATTATGCTGTTGACTTCGTCAAATTATTTTGGTGTTGTTTGGTTTGGTTCTGTTTCTCTATGGAAATTTTTGGCCACAACAAAGATCAAGGATTTTGACTCTCAAATCTTCCCTCAATTTGGCATTCTACTTCATGAGCTTTGGTCTTTTTGAGAATGGTATTGAGAGCTAACAAAGGTCATTACCCGGTACTCAATGTTGGTACTTGGTAGAGGTTAAGGAAAAGTGTGATTGTTGGAGAGAGGGGAGGGGAGAAGAGTGGGAGATTAGAGACAAAATTGACATTCATACCCTCATCTAAGTGGTACTTGGACTCAATTGAAGAAAATATCCCCAATTACTGTTGGTCTCTCAAGAGGGTAAATGACCCATCTCTGAATGGGAAACTGGCCCTCCATTTGAATCCTTGGACACCACCCAAATGCTTGCTCTTTCTCACTTATACCCTAGTTCTACAAATTTTTCCAGGACCATGAGAAAGAAAGGCTTGGTTATTGTTAAAGTATAAATATTTAAGTTACACCCTCCCCAACTGCATAAGTTTTTGGAGTAGATTGCACGAGAGGGGGCATGTTGAAGTCTAAATACTAAAGTTACACCATCTCTAACACGTTAAGCTTTTAGAGTAGATGGTTGTTCAACAGTCACTAATAAAAATTATTTCTTCTAGAATATTCCGCCAAAATCTCCTTTTTCCACATTGAATCCAAGAACATTTAAATGATCCATCCACTTTTGAACAAGCCATATTGTATTTATAGGTTTTTCTGATTACATTTGCATAAGGTCTTTTATTTGTCCAAAGTATGAGGATCTCCATGTTTGATGTCTCTGATTGGAGGTATTTTGAATACACCAACATGCCCACAGGTGTAGTGGTGCCATTTCTTGATGATAGAGGATTCCTGTCTTCTTTTTGTGCTTTCTTATTCCTACAAGAAAGAGATTCTCGGATGCCATGGAAATTTGCTTAATGTTTTTTGCACAGTGAAAGATTCCCTTCTTGAGATCATTTTCCACTGATGACATCCCAACACTAGTAGAAGACTACTCCTATGTGGATTTTTCTTCATATATGGTGTACCCGTGGACATTTCAAGAAACAAAAAATCCATTGTTTTACCTGCACGATGAGCCCTTGAAGAGCTGTTTTATGGGGTTCATACTGTAAGATTTTAAGTTGGAATTAGAATCGTGTCCGTATTTGTGCTACCCCTTATTGATCTTTTGGGAATTCACCCACCTTTTGCAAGAATTATTAGCCTGCATCTGCATGTCATAGTATTCCTTTATGTATAGCCGAAGCTCTTAAAAGTATTCGGAAATGCTTTTATATTTTTGTCACATTGAAGGCATCTATCCTCTTTTTTTTGTCCTTTCCCTTTTGTTTTCCCTAGGCATATGTGCAGCAGCTAGAGAGTAGCAGACTGAAGCTGACACAACTAGAGCAGGAGCTCCAGCGAGCACGACAGCAGGTTAGGTTTGTTGTAATTTGTTTCTTATTGAATGCTCATTTATGTTTGTTTACTGTGCATTTGTTTGTGCAGTTTTTATGGCTTTTATTGCACTAACCTTTTCCGTTCCATTAGGGAATCTTCATGTCAAGCTCAGGAGACCAAACCCATTCAATGAGTGGAAATGGTACTTTCACTTTCATTGTTTCCTTAATGAGGTTTCACCATTAAGTATGGTCTCTGGGTGTAGGATTATCTACTTTTCATGTCCTCAACTTCTACTTTTTCTGTGTGTCTAAATCTAGTATTATTGATAGCCTTTGGAAGTTAATTAAGCCAGTAATTTAACTATGCTGTGTCAGGTTTTCTAACTGTTAAATGCCACTCAACCTCTCTGCTGTGAACATACTGATTCTTTGATGACTTCGCATAACCTTGCTTGATTTCAGCAGTAAGTGCTCGAGTGAAAATTTCTTTTAAGAATTTTTTGGTATCCATGAGATCAACAATATCAAATCATGTTTGCCAATGTGGTCTTTCTTTCCCTCATTCTGGCCAAAATTACGCAGTGGACCAAGATGCCCGAGTGATGAGTGAAAACTTTAAGAGAAATTCATAAAAAAAATGATGTTCAACAGAGACCTCATAGAGTTTCCAAAACTTCCCCTTGCAGGTGACTGAGATATAAAGATACAACAGAAGGGCTAACATTGGCACAAAAGTGGGTGTAACAAGCTACCTAAAATCATATTTGGTCGGGTGTTACGCTGTCATGTTAGCTCTTTGATGGAAGTGGCATACTGGCCTTCGAAGGTTTGGAGGGCACCTGGTTTGGGAGTCTTATTGTTGCTGGATTATTCTCTTTGCTTCCGTTTCCTTAAGTTGGCTGGGGGGTGAGGTTAGGTAGAAGAGGAGACATTTCTTAAATTAGATACATACTTCAGAATGGGTAGGTAGCTCTAGCAACCTGAGGAAGGAGATATTAGATTTGATCAATGATTTGTCGTTACACCTTTGGTCTTTCTTTCCCCCCGAGTGGTTGGTAGTTCGAGTGAAAGTTTATTGTCGATGCAGGTGGATCTCACTGGAAAGTAGAGGGCAAGGTGATGGGGATCGTGTAGGAATCGGATAGATATTATAGATTAGTTATGATCTACATCACAAGGGTTGTAGCTCTTGGGAGGCTGCCAGTTCCTAAAATTATCTGGAACTTTTTATTAACTGCAATTAGTGGAGGAATAGATGTCATCTTTGGTGCAGAGAATGACATGAAAAATTCGGTTTAGAGTCTTTTGGTTTGTGATTCGTTGGAGAATATGGTCAAGAAGAATATGATCAATGTTGTAATCTAATTGGTGCATGTTTGGGGACTTGCACTGTCAAGTTTTGGGCTGAACCAGTTAGTACTTTATGTTAGGTTCAGGATTAGGTAGGCTGCTAGAAAATCTTAAGTTAAGCTTTATTAAGTCTAGGAATTAAAGGTATTCAGGTTGGGCTGCCATGTTGGGTTTTAGGTATACTTATTTATGTTATTTGGGTTGGATTTAGAATGTCTAGTTAAACATAAGATACCATTCTTTAGAAATTAGAATACTCTTAAACTAAGAGGCCCATGTATAATTCCGATGCAAATACGACATGGACACTCTTGACAAATTTTTTAGAGATTTATTTGATCTTTAATTTTGATATTTTGAAGTGAAGAAAACCATCATTCTGAAGGGTGGGCAAAAAACAAAGGTGTCAAATTTGTTTCCATACGGCATTAATGCTACCCACTCTGTATCTGAAAACAGGGACGATGATGCTTGGGAATCGCTTTGCCATCAATTATCCTTTTCTTTCTTTAGCTCCATGGCTCTTTAAATTGATTCGCTTTTTTAATAATTTTTCTTTTCATTATCATCAATATGCAGGGGCCATGACATTTGATGTAGAGTATGCACGGTGGCTGGAAGAGCAAAATAGACAAATCAATGATCTAAGATCAGCAGTCAATTCTCATGCAAGTGACACCGAACTTCGTGGTGTTGTTGATGGAATCATGGCACACTATGATGACATTTTTAGGCTGAAGGGTATTGCAGCAAAGGCTGATGTTTTTCATTTGTTATCGGGCATGTGGAAAACTCCTGCTGAGAGGTGTTTTTTGTGGCTTGGTGGATTCCGTTCTTCTGAGCTCCTCAAGGTCAGGGCTTTCGGGCAATTTTGATGTTTTGTTGATTTGCATGTTATCTGAAAATGTTTCAAAAATAACCTATTGAAAAGGTAACAAAATATATCTTAGATACAAAATCAGTAATAGAGGGAGCTATCTCACATAAAAAATTAAGCAGACTGTTGGTTTATATACTTGAAGGGGCTCTCCTTGTATTGCCAAGTGGTTTTAGATTGGATACTCTAGCATGGTATCAGGGCTGGTACTTGGGTAGTTGGTGGACCATTTCTCTCAGCAGTTTTTTTACTGGTCTGTTTACCAGTTGTTTTGGTTTAGCTCCAATCTGTTTGTCTATCTGTTTCAATTTTATTTGTTAGCCCACATGCATGTCCAGATTGCACATGAGGGAGGGTGTAAAAAGAGCCATCCAACCAAAAATTAAGTAGACCCAAGGTTAGTATTTATAGTTGAGGGGCCCTCCACCTATTTCCAATTGGTTTTGGATTAGATGCTCTTTTGAGACAGTTATTTATGAGTAGAATGGATCATGTGATGTAGCGTTTAGAGTGTTAGAGCAAGGGGCCCTGGTATCATTCCAAAGTTACTGCCTCATACTTGAGTAAAAACTAGCATTTTTAGAAAATGAAACAAATAAGAAGTTTGTTTTGGGCAAATTCGATCGCAGTTTGAATCTGCTGTCATTTCCCTTGATTATTGAGCAAGCTGTGGAAAAACTTTTTAAGTGAATAACTATATTTGTTTTCCAAAATGAAACTGATTGTTGTTCATATTAAATCAACCAAATTAGATATCAGTAACTTGAGCCTTTGTCCGACTGTTAGTTTATTTCTTTTAATGAGTGAATTATTTGTAGTAGGCTTGCAATATACTATAACTTTTGCATTCAAGTATAACCATAAAAACTGAGTATAGTTTTATTCTGATTCTTAACTAGTTATTTTATATCATGTTGTGTACTTGTGCTATTTTTTTCTGATCCCCATATGGTCATGATATATGATATGATGTTATATATGGGCAGGGTAAAGCATATTAAGTTTTTTTTTTGGGTTGTTGAAGTATAACTAGTTAAGTGACACTCTCTCTAACAATTTAAGTTTTTGGAGCAGATGGTTGTTTAACATGGTATTAGACCAAGAGTTCCTGAATTTGAATCTTGTTGCCACCCTCATTATTAAAACGATTTTTACGTGCTATGCCCAAAATTTAGCATGTCACAAGGGGCATATTGAATAATAAATATTTAAGTTACACCCTCTCTAACAACTTAAGCTTTTGGAGCATATAGATGTTTAACATAGGTAAGTAAAGCATATTAAGTTATTGATAGTTGTACTTGTGTTATCTGTTTTGAACCCCATATCTCCATTAGTGCGATGTCATGCATGGGTAAGGGAAAGCATGTAAAGTTATTAACATTTGAGGCTCGATAACATTGATGACAATTCCGTGCCTAGTTTTGAGACTTAAACACGATTTTCAGTTTTCCTATAGAACATTTAAAGTTGTTATATCTTCCATGGTCCTAGTTAGATGAGAAACTCAAACTTGGCTTTTCATATATTTTCAGATTTTCATTATTAGTGTCAATTTTTTGTTGTTCATATCTTTAAGGCCTCAATTTACCTTTTTTTTTTCTTTTTTAACTTGGTACTAGCCTCATGATTTACTTGTATAAGATATTTTCATTTCACTTCTTTTTTCTGACATCAATTTTTGAATGTGAATTGGTTCAATCGGAGGAGGAGTAGGGGTATATATATATATATATATATATATATATATTTATAAAAAACATCATTTTATTTGTAATCATAGTGAAAAATTACAACATCCAAGCGAAGTTGGACAATAAGTCCAACCAACCCAAGAGACAAAAAAACAAGAGGCCAAAAAACATAATAGTACACATCAAAGCACCATCCAAAACAAATTGTTAACATCTGCAAGATGTTGTCCAGCTCAAAATAATACAAAAAAGAGGGATATCATCAAACTCCTTTGTCACCAAGGTCAAAAAAAAGAAGCTAAGAAAGAGACCCTCTCCTGTAGTCCATCACTTTAGTTTTATCTTCAAATATTATCACATTTCTTTCTATTCATATAATCCAAACAATGACAAATAAAGCGCAGCGCTATAGTGTCACATCTTTCCAACCTCCACCTAATCTTATAAAATCCAAACCAAACATGGATGAAGTAGATCCTGGAGCCACCCAACAAAGTCCAATCAACTCAAATAATTTGTGTCACAACAAAATGCAATTGGACAATGAAGGAATAAATGTTCCACACTTTCACCATTACATCTACACATACCATTGTGGGTAAAACAAGTAGAAGGTCTCCTCCTTTGTAACATATCATAACTATTAATCCTATCATGAGCAATTACTCATGCGCAAACTTGCACTTTCAATGGTATCTTAACCTTTCAAATCTTCAATGATGAATACAAAAAAAAAGGTATTGGGGGATCTCAATCAATGAATTAAAGTAGATCTTACATGAGAATAACCCGATGCATCAATGACCCAACATCTTTTATCCACCACATCATGACTCAAAGTGAGTGAATAAAGTGAGGAAAGAAGCAACACCAATTTCGAAGACTCCTTGTCATTTAAGTTTCAATGGAATCCAAAATACCAAGATATCAGAGTGGAACGAGACCTTACCAAAGAAGCAACATTATGACTATGATAACAAAAAAGTCGAAATATCCAAGGAAATAACCTTGAAAATGACCATTCTCCAATCCAAATATTCTCCCAAACTTGAACTTAAGCTTTCAAGAGAAGTAAGGTAATCCATGAGAAATGAATTTAAAGGATTTCAATAGTTTCTCCTATGAACCCCATTAACATCCCACCCATTAGAGTTTCCCAACAAAAGACGACCTTCTGATTTTGGCCTAGTCACCACCTTCCAACTAACCAAATGATACCTTCTACTCTCACCCCTTCTTTCCCACAAAAATTCTCATCATCCTCTCAATTTTGATTGTCACCCTATAAGACATCTTAAAAAAGGGACTTAAAAGTAAATAGGAATGCTTGCCAATATGGTTTGATCAAGAGTTAATCTTACTCCCTTTGAGATAAAGGCTTTTTCCATCCAATCAACCTTCTGAATGAGTTGATCCCAGAAAGACCTAGACAAAGGATTACCATCTAAAGGAAAGCCTAAATACTTCAGACCAATCCCGACAGAGCACCTCAAAGCCAAAGCCAACTTAGGGATTTTATCCTGACTCGAATTTCTTCCGAATAATCAAACTCATTTTTGTATTAACTTTAAGCCCATAAATCACCTCAAACTTATCCACAATCTTTTTCAAATTTAAAATTTTCTCCTCAACCCCCCTGGAGAAAAAAAAAGGATCATCCGGAAACTGCAGATGTGCCACTGAAATCCTATATCACAAAACGCTCCACCAAATTATGCTCCTTCTCCATTATTACTAACCTGCTTAACCCATCCACCACAAGATCGAACAAAAAATGGGACAAAGTTGTTCCCTTTTTACCTTGGAACTTTTAGTTGTCTCTCCGTAAGCTGTTATATATTTCCTTCTTATGTAACATATCTGGAGCAGCTGTGGTGAACCATTGAAAATTCAAAGTTAACAGTCATAAGCTAATTCTGGCAGACGGTTTGCTTTGTAAAGGTAATAATCTTACTTGAATTGATGCCTATGTAGTCAAGCTTGTATCCTGTACATATTCTTGATGGGTGGATACCTGATGTGAGCTGCTCCATGCTGGTCCTGTGTCAGTGACCTATTTTGTCTGCTTTGCCAGTATACCAGTTAGATCATTTGTAGCTCTGTTTGAACTTATTCCCATGTCTTTGGCTTGATCTTCACAGTACAATGTAATCCTAATGCATCACTAACCTGCATCCAATGATTTTTGGACTAAGTATTTTTCTGTGTTTTCATATGTATATTTATGTTAGTTGATCCAACTGGTTTGATTGCAGCACCTCGTGAATCAGTTGGAGCCTCTAACAGAGCAGCAATTGATAGCCATTGGAAACTTGCAACAGTCTTCTCAGCAGGCAGAAGATGCATTATCCCAGGGGATGGAGGCGTTGCAGCAATCCTTGGCTGAGACACTGTCCAGTGGACCTCTTGGCTCTTCAGGTTCATCAGGGAATGTCGCAAATTATATGGGTCAAATGGCCATGGCCATGGGAAAGCTAGGGACACTTGAGGGATTTATTCGGCAGGTAATTCTTGCTTGCTTTCTGTTTGATTTATACTTCTTTTACTGCAGATAACATCACATGAAAAATCCGTGGATCCATGTTGTGATATGGAGTCTAAGTAGCCGTTTCAAGACTGAATTTAGAATGTGACAACTACGCATGTAAAAATGGAAACTGGGAATAGTTGCTTTTTCAATCTTTTCTTGGACCAAGGCCAAGATAATTCAGTACCTATTGATATAATTTTTACACTTCTGTTGCTGTTAATAGTCTCTCATGTTTCCTTGGTGGTGATTCAGGCTGACAATCTGCGACATCAAACGCTTCAACAAATGCAACGTATTTTGACAACCCGACAATCCTCTCGCGCTCTTCTTGGTATACACGATTATTTCTCCCGACTTCGTGCTCTTAGTTCCCTTTGGCTTGCTCGCCCAAGAGAGTGAGAACTATGCAACTTCTCTGGGGTTGGTTCTCTGTATAATTACTGGTCATGCTTGCTGGGAATTTAATAGCCAAGTAGTTCCAGGCATGGGTTAATCATTTCCAAATTCTCTTTTTCCTTGTGTAGTAGGTTCAGATGCTTGTGTATCCTCAATACAAGTCTTGTATCTACTAGATATCATTTTAGTCAATTGTACATTCATGGATTTTCTTTTTCTTCCATTTGTGTTCTGTAGAATGTTGGCAAAACTAGTGTATGTATCTGTGTTATAATAATTAGCACCAACAGAATATGAATTTTATAGTTGCATAGTAACATCGACTTGGTTTCCCAAATTAGTGTCGTTTTTATACTTTTTTTTTTTATCAATGCAACATGCCACAGTTTATAACTTATTGATCAGTCTATTATTGTTTTACATAGTAACGTGAGTTTGGCTCACTTTTAATGTAAAAGCGTGAGTTTGACTTACACTAATTAAACTTGGGACTGTGCCGGGAACAAAAGATAGGCCTTACTAAACTTCGAGGCCTTTTATTTTTTATATATACTAGTAATGTATGATATGCGTTGTACATTAATTAGATCGTTTATAATATTATTATTATTGTATATTAAAAAATAAAATATAATATATATTTGATTATAGAATTTAATCGGTAATTATGTGTATAATAATTTAATATATATAAGATTTCATTTATTCATATAGATACAAAAGATTGTATGCAACTATATTACTAATAAATCAGTTCAACATCTTAATGAGAAAAAAAGATAGGCAATCTATCTTAATGACCTTGTCCTAGGCTGGCCATGGGTTCGTGTCGTTTACAAGAAGTTTCCATTCCAAGTAATATGGTGAGATGGAAACCAGAGCCCAGAGTGTAACCATTCATGACTAGGCTTGATAATTGAGAGAATCTACTCGAGCTCAACTCATTTTGGGTTTTGTTTGGGTTTGATTTATTTTTTAAATGATCTGAATTTTAACAATTTTTAAAATTTGTTTAGAAAAACGAGTTCGACAGGCTTTGCTCCAGCTCGGAAAGTTCAGCTCGATTATTACATTCATGAGCAAAGCCACAGATGGGTGAGAGGTCCCAAGCCACAGTGATTTATATGTACATATATGTGTGTATTCTATTGTGCTTCTATCTTTACCTTGCTTATTTACTATTTTTTTTTCAAGAATACAAGATGCAAGTGGCCTATAATTACATTTCTAATGTTGTAATGTATAAGAGGTTTGTGCAATATGTCTTGGCTTGTATATTTACGACATTTTGGCTATTAGATGTTATTAATTTTAAGGTGACATTTTGGCTATTACATTTTGTGCATTTTCTTCTTTGCTTGTTTAAGTTTTATTTAGTGGTTTTTTATTTTTGATAATATCTTAATGATAAAGCTTGGAATATAATTCGTCAAATAATTGTAAAATTAAAGATTTTGAGCACTCGACTGTGTTATCATATGAGTGATAAATGATGATTTACAGCTTGATTTTATGAAAAACACATTTTCAATGGAATTGATATGTAATGTTTTTGAAACCGATGAAAAAACTTATCGGTGGTCCATTGTGGGCAAACACGTTCCAATACTTATGAATGATTAGATTAGTAAATTAAATTAATAAATTAATTAAAATAGAAATTTTCGTTCCAATTTAGATGGAGTATACTTTCAATCTAATGGTTAAAATAAATTAGGTCGACAAATATAAGTTTTTATTAAATACTAATATTAAATAGAGTCTCCACTTTTAGTATAACAATTATAATTGATTAAGTCTCCAAATTAAAAACAAATATCATTTTCCATTTTAAAAAGATAACCCTACTCAATTTGAAAGAACATATGGAAAACAAATTCTAGCCTGTAGCCATCTGTCAAATATCTTATCGAGGTGGTCTTTGTCTAGGATTAAAAACTAAGTACTTTATTTCAACACACACTCTTGCATTTCAACAGTTTCTCCAAGTTTCATATATTTTTGTTTTCAGGAACAATAAATCATTACCTTTTTTCTCTCTCCATTGACAGTTTGTAATTTGATTTTTCTAGACTGCCTTTGATCTCCATTCTTGTCTTCATTAAGAAACAATTAATATGGTGTGTGATTGTATTATCAACACCGTGGGTATAAAGTTGGGACCTTATTTTGGGAGACGTATCTTGACAGCTAACGAGTTGGTGCATTGCAGAGGCCAGAGGAGTTCTTGAAACGTAGTAGAAATTCTTTATTCAAAAGTGGTATGAGTAGTTGTAGTGGTAATGTTGATATGATAGATGAAGATCACATTACCAAAGAGATTAGTAGCACTGGCATGATAAAGGCTACAACGATGGGATGTTTGGGAAATCAGAGATTTGCAAGAGAACCACTTGAAGAAACAAAACAAGAACCTTTCAATATACGTGGTATCTTTGAGCCAATCTTCACATAGTCTTTATAGAGACTAAAACGAATCAAAACATGCCTCGGATCTAAGATCCCCTTTAGCCAACTATCTAGAAGTTATAGACTCCTTAATGACCCCAAAGAAAGTTTTCCATAAGCACACTTCCTAAAAACCTTTTGACAAGTTCTTGTGTCTCATCTGGAGTCCAACACATACCTTGTTCCCCATTATTGTAGACCACCCTTTTAGCCGGCTTCGAAAAGATCGCAGAATAGAATGGACTAGGCAAAGGCACTTGCTCCAATCTAGGAAGGAATCTGAACACAAGAAGAACCAAGAACATTCAAAGGAGTATGAGAAATCAACCGAAAATTCGAAGGATGAGAGATCGTAGAGACTCGATCAATCGAGGGAATACTCGAAAATTGAACAAATTGTGAATTCAAAGGAATTTGAGAATTCAAATGGTTTTGAGTTGGAAGAGCATTTGGAGGCATTAACTATTACTAAGGTTGAAGAACGATAACAACAACCTATACATGATCTAGATGAAGAAATCTTTTTTGAGAAAATTTGAGCAACATCGTAAGAAAAATTCAGGAAAATACTTGACATGCAAATCTTGCCAAGAGTTGAGTTTGCATCCACAAACAGGGGCTAAAAACTCTCACATCTGCAAGTGGATAGAAAGTCGTCTCAAGCTTCAGCTAAATTGAAAGGGCGCAAATGAATAAATTGATTAGAGTCTTAAATAGAGAGCAAGAGAGTTAGAGATAATGATAAAGAGCCAGAACAAGACAATGAGAGTAAAACAATGAGACAAGACCTGGAAAGAGGCAGTGTGGAGGAAAATAGAGTGAAAGGAATGTGGAGGAAAAGAGAGTGAAATTTGGGAGAAATTGCTACTTTTAAAGTTAAAAGTCGTTATTTTTAGAAGGTTTTATCATATTTTAGGTTTTTCTTTAAAATTTTACATAAACTTGTGAAAATATTATTACATTTTAGGGTCTTTGCATAGACTTATAAAATACATTATGCTTTCAACTTGGTACATTAAAAAATGTTTCAGAATATGAAACTGAACTAAGAGCTAAAAGTTAAATTAGGGCCCTAGACGATTATGTTAATGATCAAGCCCTAGGTCTGGCTCTGTTGTAACTCCCCTCATTCAAAGGATCAAAGTATATGCTCATCTCACAACGATAGTAATCTCTACATGCCTCTCTCTGTTAAGCCTTCGTCCATGGAACCGATTAGATAAAACAAAATTAATCACTAGATGACACACAATGATTAAAGACAATATATGTGTTAATTTATATTTTATGCATTTTGTTTCAATTTGCCAAAAATTCTGCATAGACTACTAAAAGGTGGTGTCATAGTAAAGATGTTCAATATTATAACATAGGTGTCGCATAATTTTTCTTTTTTGGTAATTTAGACATCTAATATATATTAAACATTATATATGTGCTATTTCATACTCATACTATTTGTATGCAACTGCTCAAAAGTACAATCCATATGGATTATAAACATACATAGATCATTATAATTAAATACACTTTTTTTAGAAAACAGATCCACACAACTTTTTGTCTCTTTTATCTCTTACTTGACCCGCACTTCTCAAAATCTTTTAAGTAACCCATCAAGGGTGGCTTGTTACACTTTAAGGTTCATAGCAGCAACTCTGAATGATTTTTTAAATTATTTTTTAATTAATTTTTAAAAGATTATCACTTTTTGAGATGGTGATTATTAGTCAAGTTTTATACTGAAGTTTTACTCTCGTATCTTTTCAATTTTCAATTGATGATATGACTAATGGACATATTTTTTTTCTAATTTTATGAGATTTTTTCTTATCCATTTACCTAAATTTAGTATAATTTTTTTTTTATGTTATGTTTATCACTACTAACAAATATATTTAAGAATATTTTAATTAAAAATTTAAATATTTTTTAAAATTTTCTATTCTTTAAAATTTTTCCTAGACAAATATTTATTTGCTAATTGTTATATTTATAAATCAACCAAACACTTCTATAATAAGAAAATATTACTATCTTGAAATTAAAAATAAAAATAAAATTACGACAGATTTAATTTATCGTCATGACCCACAAAATTAAGATATGATACACGAATTCTCCCCTAACATTGCATATTAGGAAAAAAAAAATAAAGAGAATCAATAGATTGAAATGGATGAAAATAAATAGTTTGATTATAGAGGCAAGGATTCTTTCTGGCCAATTTCCATGACTTTATTGAAATGCTGCGCGAACCTATATATATATAGGAACGGAAACAAAATCATCTTGATACTAAATAGATCGAGTTCGGGATCTTCATGGAAATGGGAAGATCTAGGATAGGCGACCATTTTGCCAAATTTAATTGTTTTGTGTCATTGGGCTGAACTTTTGGGCCAAAATCATTTAATTAATACTTTTTGTTAGTTAAAATTTTAATTGAGTTTTTTTTTTTGACTCAATAGTTATGGGTTTAAATTTTTGGTATTGACTATGTTATACACTTATAAATCGGTTTTTTTTTTTAATTAGGCCCAAAACCCATACTT